TGGGCTAGGAGAGAGTCTTTGTCACTACAGAAATACCTCATTTTGCTGCATTTCATTTTATTGTTCTTTGCAGATATTGTGCTTTTTAAAAATTGAAGGTTTGTGGCAATCCTTTGTCAAGAAAGTCTACTGGCACCATTTTTCCAATAGAATGTGATCATTTTGTGTCTCTGTTTCACCTTTTGGTAATTTTCATGAAATTTCAAACTTTTTCATTATTATTATATTTGGTATGGTAATCGGTGATCTTTGATACTGCTATTTTATTGTTTTGGAGTGCCATGAACCATGACATATAAGAGTGAAATTAATTGATAAATAAGTATTGTTCCAACTGCCCCACTGAGTAGCTATTCCCCCATCACTCTCCCTCTCCTTGGGTCTTCTTTTCCCTGAGACAGAACAATATTAAAATTAGCCCAGCTGAAAACCCTACGATGATCTCTAAGTGTTCAAGTGAAAAGAAGAGTTGCAAATCTCTCATTTTAAATCAAAAGCTAGAAACGATTAAACTTAGTAAGGAAGGCATGTCAGAAGCTAAGACAGTCTATCATTGATGGGCATTTGGGTTGGTTCCAAGTCTTTGCTATTGTGGACAATGCTGCAATAAACATATGTGTGCTATGTATTTATAGTAGAATGATTTATAATCCTTTGGGTATATACCCAGTAATGGGGTTGCTGGGTCAGATGGTATTTCTGGTTCCAGATCCTTGAGGAATCGCCATGCTACCTCCCCCAGTGATTGAACTAGTTTACATTCCCACCAACAGTGTGAAAGTGTTCATATTTATCCACATCCTCTCTGGCCTTTGCTATTTCCTGACTTTCTAAAGATCACCATTCTAACTGATGTGAGATGGTATCTCATTGTGGTCATTTGAGAAGTGTCTGTTCATATCATTTGCACACTTTTTGCAGGGTTTCTTTGTTTTTTTTCTTGTAAATTTGTTTAAGTTCTTTGTAGATTCTGAATATTAGCCTTTTGTAAAATGGATAGATTGCAAAAATTTTCTTCCATTCAGTAGGCTGCCTGTTCACGCTGATGATAGTTTCTTTTGCTGTGCAGAAGCTCTTTAGTTTAATCAGATCCCATTTGTCAATCTTGGCTTTTGTTGCCACTGCTTTTGGTGTTTTAGTCATGAAGTCTTTGCCCATGCCTATGTCCTGAATGATATTGCCTAGGTTTTCTTCACATATACACCACAGAATACTATGCAGTCATATAAAAGGATGAGTTCATGTCCTTTGCAGTGACATGGATGAAGCTGGAAAGTGTCATTCTCAGCAAACTAACACAAGAACAGAAAACCAAACACCACATGTCCTCACTCATAAGTGGGAGCTGAACAATGAGAACACATGGAGACAGGGAGGGGAACATCACACAGTGGGGACTATCGGGGTGTGGGGGTAGGGGAGGGATAGCATTAAGAGAAATACCGAATGTAGATAACGGGTTGATGGGTGCTGCAAACCACCATAGCACGTGTACACCTATGTAACAAACCTGCACGTTCTGCACATGTATCCCAGAACTTAAAGTATAATAAATTAGGAAAAAAAAAAAAAAAAAGCTAAGACAGGCCAAAAGCAAGGCCTGCTGCAATAAATAGCTCAAGCTGTGGATGCAAAGAAAACGTTCTTGAAGAAAATTAAAAGTTCTACTCCAATGAACACATGAAGAAGAAAACAAAACGGACTCAGCGCTGATGTAAACTGAGTGGTCGGAATAGAAAATCAAACCAGCTACAAAATTTCCTTACGTCGAAGCCTAGTCAAGAGCAAGGCCTTAATTATCTTTAATTCCTTTTTTTTAAAAAATTTATATATATATATATATATATACATATATATATATATTATTGCGTTTAAGGTTTTGGGGTACATGTGAAGAACATGCAAGATTGTTGCATAGGTACACACATGGCAATATGGTTTGCTGCCCTCCTCCCCATCACCTATATCTGGCATTTCTCCCCATGTTAGCCCTCCCCAACTCTGTGAAGGGTAAGACAGATGGAAAGCTGCAGAAGAAAAGTTAGATGCGAGCAGAGGGTATTCATTAAGGAAATAAGTCATTTCCATAGCATAAAACTGCAAAACGAAGTGTTGATGAAGAAGCTGCAACCAGTTATCCTAAAGATTTGCCTTAGATAATTGATGAAGGTGGCTATACTACGGAATAAATTTTTAATGTGTACAAAACAGCCTTCTACTGGGAGAAAATGCTGCCTAGGACTTTCATAGCCAGAGAGTGGAAGTTAATGTCTGGTTTCAAAGCTTCAAAGGCCAGGCTAACTCTCCTGTTAAAGGAGAATGAAGCTGCTGTCTTTAAGTTGAAGCCAGTGCTCACTGACTATTCTGAAAATCTTATTGTCCTTAAGAATTATGTTAAATCTACTCCATCTATGTTCTATAAATGGAATGACAAAGCCTAGATAATAGCACATCTGCTTACCACATGGTTTACTGAACATTTTAAGCCCACTGTTGAGAACTACTGCTCAGAAAAAAAAAAAAAAAAAAAAAAAAAGATTCCTTCCAAACTATTGATGCTCATTGACAATGTATTTAGTCCCTCAAGAACTCTGATGGAAATGTACAGGAATAATGCTTTCATGCCCAGTGACATGACATCCACTCTGCTGACCATGAATCAAGGACTAATTTTGACTTTCAAGTTTTATCACTTAAGAAATACATTTCATAAGGATATAGCTGCCATAGATGGTGATTCCTCGGATAGCAAAGTAAATTGAAAATATTCTGCAATGGATTCACCACTCTAGATGCCATTAAGAATATCTGTAATCCATAAGGGGAGGTCAAAAGAACATTAGCAAGAGTTTAGAAGGTAAGTCAAACTGTCATGGACAACTCTGAGGGGTTCAAGATCAGTGGAGGAAGTCACTGCAGATTTGGTGGAAATAGCAAGGAAACTAGAATTAGATCGGAGCCTGAAGATGTGCCTGAATTGTTGTAACCTCATGATTAAACTTCAGTGGATGATGAGTTGTTTCTCATGAATGAGCAAAGGAGGTGGTTTCTTGAGATAAAATCTACTGCTGGTGAAGATATTGTAAACACTACTGAAAACACAATAAAAAAATTAGAATATCGCATAAATTTAGTTGATAAAACAGTGGCAGAGTTTGAGAGGATTGACAATTTTCAAAGTTCTTTGGATAAAGTTCCATCAAAAATCACTGCATGCTAAAGAGATAACTTTCTTGGAAGAAAGAGTCAGTTGATGCAGCAAGCTTTACTGTTGTCTTGTTTTCCAAAATTTCCACAGCTACCCTAACTTTCATCAACCACCGCTCTGATTAGTAAGCAGCCATCAACACCATATCCTTCACCAGCAAAAAAATGATCACTTGTTAAAGGCTCAACTGATTGTTAGCATTTTTTAGCAATAAAGTTTTTTAAAAATTATGTATATTGTTTTTAGACATAACACTATTGTACATTTAATAGACTATAGTGGAAAGATAATTTTTATATCTACTGGGAGACCAAAAAATCTGTGTGGCTTGCTTTATTGTGATAATAACTTTATTTTTGTGCTCTGGTAATTACCCTGCAACGTATGTCTGCATATCAGACATGAGTAAAGCAAAGTCTTTTGAATGCACAGTACACTGACTGAGTTTAACGTGCGTATAACCATCAGAGTTGGCTGGGGACTCAAAGACCATCTAAACCATATCTGATTTCTTTCACAATATTCCTAGTGGACAAGAATCTACAGATTTTTCACAAAAAGGAAACTCACTTCATGATGAAGCAACAATTTTGCTATAGAGGTCCGATTGATAGGCAGCTCTGCTTACCTTAAATCCACAGCTACATATATGATGCTTTCAACCTTCAGAGCCTTTCATGACAGAATAGGTTTTTACTCTCTCTCCCATTTAGTCATGTAAAATGTATATTCTGACTTCTACTCAATGCATTCTCAATTTTTTTTCCTCTGGAAAAAAAAAAAAAAAACCCTCAAGTTACTTGAGTCATTTCTCATGTCCTGTTTGTTTGTTTATTTTTTTAATTTCTTTTACCCTGGGCCATTTGGTCTGGACATGCTACATTTTGGCAGTATCTATGTTTTAAATACATAGACACTACCATAATTAATAAAGCCTTTTGATTGGTTGATAAATCTTTTTATAGACTATGTCTGGG